AACGTGCAATTCACGCGCTGGCCACAGATTGGCGGAAAGAAGCCAAAGGCTAGTCAAATAATGAATGCGGGTCCAAGATGGCACTTTTGCTCACCCGCATCATGGACTTACTGGCCACCTGCATTGCACAGGAGGAGGACATCCATAGCCTCGACCACGTGGTCTAAGACCACCAACAAACGGTCGCACGGTTGACCAGCCGCATACAGCAGCTGCCCATCAGCAGCAGGCAACAAATCAGCAGTTCGAACAGCAGATTTGTGCAGCAGTCGCCGGTCCAACCTCGTCACCTCACAAGCGCATACCCAAGTTCGATGGCATCCCGGTCTTCTGTGACGGATCAAAGATCGAGCCAATTCCATGGTGGCGCCACTTCGACCTTCAACTGGACTTGTATAAAGTCAGCAACCCCAACCGACATGCTTATTTATATCACCGGATGGGGGGGCGCGTGTCAAGCATGGCTTGGCAATATGTTGTCCACACACAAAGTCACCGTCTTCGACCTGCACACGAAAAGATCAGCTGGGCTGATCTCAAGGCAACATGGCACAAGCGGTTCCAAGTGAAACCGCCCGAGCTTCGAGCAATGGAAAAGTTGCAGAAGCTCCATCAGAATGCTGTGACGAACCACTTTCTGCGGTGCGCGATTTTCTGCGCGATTGCAATGAGGGGTCCTAAGCTGGGAAGGTTGGGCCAATTACGGGAAATCGGGATCGGTGGGAAATTGCATCGGTGTCCTTGCTTCTTCGTCTTTTTGCGTCATTTCTCTTCGGATGGTTGGGTTCGGAGTCGGGCGTGTCCCGGGACGATCGGTCGGGTGGTCGGCTGAATGGCTGGCGCGCTGTCGTGCGCGCAAATAATAAAAGTGACGTCGCTTCTTTTGTTCCAGTTTTGGATTTTTGGGCGCGGACATCGCGCGGGAATTCTGCTTCGTTCTTTTTGAATTTTCCTTTTGAATTCTTTTTCAAATCTTGTCAAGCCCTGATGGCTCCCGGAATTTCGGACTTTCTTTTCGGAGATTGTGCTTTTTGCTCTTCCGTTTTAGATAGGAATTTAGGAATTTTGCAATTAGGATTTTCTTCTGCCGCGCGGCGCTTTTTGCTTACGCGCTTCTTTGTGCGACTGCAACGGAACTCTGATTAGTCGGCGCCTTTAATCGTGTGTGTAACTGTAATTTTGGGCGGGCGCCATTGTAATTGTATCTTTCTTCTTGTTCGTCTTTCGCGCCCTTGTTCTCTTTCTTTTGGCTGCGTCTTGGTAGCCGCGGTAGGCATGATCGGATCGATGCCTGGAGAGCGGCTACGTCCCCCACGCCGCGATCTGGCCATGCAGAACGTAGGTGTTCCCTCTCCTGATCTTCCTTTCCAAGTCTTTGTGATTTCGTGTTCTTCGCGCATGCATGCACGCTATAAATTTCGGCTGCGCGATTAGTTACCTCTCTTAACCAGCTAAGTGGAAGCTCGGGGTAGCGCGATCAATGAGGGTAGGCTCATGAGCGAAGTAAGAGGTGAGTTGAAGTGGGAGTCGGGCGACCCGAGGAGCTGGTGCCAAACGCGTGGGGTTGACACGGGCCACGACGGACTGTGGGTGCGGGCGAACTTGGCGGGTGCGGGAGGACTAAGCGGGGTGACGACTTCGTGGGTTGGTGCGCGACGACGGACTGTCCGCATCGGAGAGAGAGAGAGAGGAAGAGGGAGCTGATGTTGATGGACGCGGATTTGCTGTTGCTTTTATCTTTTCCCCCTCTCTGCTGGTGTATATAAATTTTGATTCCGGATCAGGGCGATTTGCCCGTTTTTTGGTTTTCGGAATCTTGGCTTGGTTTTCTTTCGCCCACACTCGTTTTTGCGGTTTCAATCTCTGATGTAGTGTGTTATGTTGCATGAATGGATGTCGTGCTCTCTACGCCTGATCTTTGCCTTTGCTTACCATCTTGATGCACTCATGAGTAGGGTAGGAATTTTGCGAAGTCATCAATACTGCTTCCATTCTTGTTCATCCCTTGATTGAGCTGTTGTGATTGTTGCATCTTGCATACTCAGAAATTACGGAGTGATTAGATGATCGGGTAGCTGTTTACCCAGAAACCAGCGAACGCCGTGCAGGGACGCGCGTAATTGCGATCTGATCTGCGCAGTTACACGTGTCCACGCGCGTCGATTCACAACCACCCACACATAAAAAGGCTAACGATTGCGGGGATATTGCTTGGTTGGATGTGGCCATCCTGCGTCGGCAACGAAGCAATCATGCTGTGTGAACACGTGTAAGTGCGATTCGACTCGTGCGGCCTACACGTACTCACACGCGGTGATCGCAATCGACGAAGACACTCCCTTAGGAATTTTGCGGCTCTACGATGACATAATGATGCTTCGGGAGCTCAGATTCGTTGTGGGACCCGAAGTACTTCACCCCTTGGATAGAAGAGTGCCTCCGACAGAGGTTCCCCTGCCTAACAGAGAATCGACTGTGTCCTAGGGAGTTTTACTGCGACACAACCAGCGATCCCCGGTGCTCTGATTTTCCCACTTCAGACCACACCCACTACTTTATTTCCCCCAATTTTGTCGTTATCTCCACTAACTTCCCTCCCTTCCGTCTTCTTCTCCCGTATCATCAACTCAGGGTCGTCCCGTGGAACGCCATAGCCCCCTACTGGCCCCGCACGCCCTGCGGAAATTGCCGACGACGCGGCAACCAGAGAGCCTCGGGATCTCGAGGGCCCAACCCGAACGCGTGACGACCGGCACCACGTGGCGACAACTGACGACCCGACTCATCAGGATCACACCCACCCCGAATGGACCTTTCGATGAATCGCCATCCTCAAAACGGACGGATCGAGCGGCCTTGAAGGGCCTGCGCATGCCATCGGCCTTATGACCGGAAGCGGTCTGCCCTCTCTGCCAAATTGCACCCGTGCCCCCGAAAAACTCTGCCACAGGAGATCTTAGTTCTGCCCTGGGACTCCACCCCCACTTTCCCAAAAATCCTTGGCACACCCCTTGTCGCACTTCCAGGCCCACACCGCACTCCGATCAGGAAGTCGCGCTGGGGTTAAGGTTGGTATCGGAGCCGGCACGTGGCCGGGTTATAGGACTAACAACACACTAATTGAGCGATCTGGCTAACCGAGGGCGACCTCGACCCCGGAACGCACATAGACGCGACCCCGTCATCACCCGAAGTAGATCGGCTAATAGACGGGCAGCCAACATGAACGCCAATCCACAGAATCCGAATCCGCAACAGAATGAACAACAAAATCCTAATAAACCCGCCCCACGAGCACGGGCTGCCATGACGCCATCCGATCTCTATCTGTTTGACCCTGCACATCATCTCGCAGGAGCATGGTTGGCCACGCTCTGGGCACAGCAGTATGATAACGAAGCTCAAGTGAATATTCCCGCCCGATTAGGAGGAGACGCTCATCATTGGTTTAGTACCTATGTATGGGTGGGTCTTCCGACTTTCGAGCGAGATTTTTAAATTGATTCGACTATGTCCATCCAGAGCAAGCGCTCTTCATGATTAAAGACCGGGTGCAAAAACCCCTCGAATCTATCGCGGAATATCGAAATCGATTCTATCGAATGTTTGTGAAAACTGAATGGGGCGAGCAAGTCGGGAGAGATTTGTTTATCGACGGACTTCGCAGCCGAACGATAAGGGCGAAACTGCGAAAATAGTTCTCCCCCATCAATCATACGCTGCAGCAGATTATGGCCGCTGCAGAGGAGATGGAAGGAAAGTTCGCGGCGAGTTTCCTAGAGGGGGAAGACTATCCTAAGGAAGGAGACTCGTCCGAACTTGCGAGGGCAAACGCAGAGCTGGCCGCGTTGCAAAACAAGTTCGAGAATATGGGAGACTCGTCCTAAGGAATAAGTCACCTATCTAGAACAAATAGCCCCTAAACGATCGGCCCCGAGTGTGATCACGAGTGTCCCTGTTCCTGCGGTGCCAACACCTGTAATGACGGCACCCCCACCACTGATTGAGAACCCTGTGAGGTCAAATGAGTCCACTGCTATTTTTGAACTGACCAAAACACTAATTAGCCTAATCCAGGAAAGCAAAATGGAACAGCGAGAGCATAACGCTCGGTATGATGAGAAATATGTGGCCCATCGCAGTACGCGCCGCCCCAATCCAACAAGGGCTAGCCCCGGCGCCTGCTCTTGGAGGGGCCTCAAGCAATTTGAATGTCTGCTATGCGTGCCATCAACCGGGGCATCTAGCTCGTGATTGCCCCCACCGGCCCCCGCAACAACGGGTCGGGGTCACCCCAATGGCAGCAGCCCCCATTGCTAACGGACCGGGACGGGTAGGAGCCCTGATGGAAGAAATGGAGGGAGGAGGTAGTGCTTTGGCTACTTCGGAAGAAGCTGCTGAGCTCATCCCGTTAGACCAATAAGTATCGCTTGGTTACCCGGGGCTTGGAATGATTGGAACAATCAGACCCACGCCGGAACAAAAAGAGGTGGCGGAATGGCGACCTTCTCCAGGAGAAATGGAGTCGGGAGGACCCACCTTCGTCAGTGGGGAAACTGATGTGTTGAACATCATCCGAGCCTTGGACCATCGGATTCCACTCTCGGTTGGTCATTTGCTCTCAATCTCCGAACAAGCCAATGAGCGAATGCTACAGCACTGCAAGGCGAATCGAAAGCGATTCGCCCTCGCCCGAACAACAACCGCAAAAACTAAAAAACCCACGCCAGACGAAAATGTGGCTGGCACTTCGGATCTGATACGGGTGGGATTAATCCAGAAAGACGATCATTTCCTACGAATTAAACCCATCCCTTGGAAATCTGCGGAATGCGACATTGAGATATGGGGAATTCCATACAATGCAATCATCGATTCGGGAGCTGCCATCTTGGCTATTTCGTTACGGGTAGTTGAGAGGGCGGGTAGGAGAAACGATCTAATCATGCTAACGGAAAAGGAGCAGCTCGTTTCGGAAGACGAAGAAAATATCAAAACAGTGGGACGAATGACCAACGTCGCTTTCGATTAGGAAAGGTGCATGCGCTGGGAGATGTCGTGGTATTAGACGTAAACATCTACGATGTCCTTTTCGGGCTTCCCGCTCTAGTGGCGTTGCGAGCCAATTTGGACTTAGAGCGACGGTCGATTATCCTCCGCAATATGGGAGGAAAACCCTATGTTGTACCTATGAGGCTGACTCTTCGTACTACCATCAACGCAGTCCCGCGAATTTCTCCGATGATGGTGGGAACTCTTCGCATGATCACCTGGGAAAACTCCACAAACGATGAGCCGTCATTGAAGGATGCGGATAGCAGTGACGAAAATGATCCGGAAATTCAGAAACTAGCACGACAGCGCATTTATTACCCGCCGCCCAGAACGATCGCAAGAACGATGCATCTAACGAGTCGGAACGTACAAAGGACCCAGGCAATGATTTTGGGTGAACCCCTCGTACAGATCTCGAGGATGGTCGATTCTTTGGAACCCTCTCGGACCCTGTACGAAGGAACGGTCCCTCTTCTCGCACGATACAATGACAAGAGATCTTTTTGCGACATCACGGGCCTACCACGATCCCTATTGTCACCCACAAAAGAAGGACAATTGCTACGCCTGGGGGCGGAGGCCAGCTCTTTGGAACCCCCTGAGCGTCTCGAGGCAGAATCAGACAAGTTCAGAATCAATATCGCGACTAAACCCGTACCGTGGCAAGATATCTGCGATGGAATCACCCCGGAAGGACATGTGGCCATCCGGGAGGAAGACGCCCAGATGATGGCCACGGTGTTCTCTTGGCGATCGGACCATTCGTTTATCTCTGCGCCACCACCCGAGGTGGCGAAACAAGCACGCACGAAGCAGATCGACGTACGGATCTGGGACCAGTCTTATGAATTGCACGTTCCGCAGTACGTACCTGATGAGATTCATCGTTTGATTGAGGACATTCTGACGGAATATCAGGGAGCGATTAGCGTTATGGATACTGGCATCGGCTTGTCGTTGGTCATACAACATGAAATTCAAACGGGGAACCATTCCCCAATTCATTGCAAGCCCTACCGTTACTCCCTGGTAGAACGAAAAAAGGCTCTTGAACGGATTCGGGAATTCGAAGCAAGCGGTTGGATCGAACCTGCCACTGGACCATGGTCATTCCAAGTAGTATTAGTACCGAAGAAGAACGGATCGATCCGCATATGCATCGATTATCGCAAACTGAATGACATCACGAGTAAAGATGTGTATCCCCTCCCCCGGATTGATGATTTGTTGGATGCGATTGGATGTGCTAATTATTTCAGTAAGTTTGATATTTGGCATGGCTTCCATCACATCCTGGTTAAGGAGGAAGATCGGCCAAAGACGGCCTTCGTGTTGTTCGAAGGCACGTGGCAGTGCGTTCGATGTCCAATGGGAATTTGCAACACGCCTGCCACATTTCAGCGGGCCATGAACGTGACGTTCCAGAACTTCGTCAACAAGATACGATTAACACAGGGGATGATTAACTTCTGCGTCATCGTGTACATGGACGACATCCTAGTTTATTCGGAGACCTATCACGGCCATGCGCAACATAGTGAGTGGATATTAGGCGCTCTGAGAGACGCTGGATTTCAAGATTGCACTCGAGAAGACCGAATTTTTCCTCTCGGAAATTTCGTTCTTGGGGTACGTAGTGACACGTGGAGGGCTGCGATCGGACTCAAGGAAAGTTGCGGTCGTAAAAGAAGCCCCAGTTCCCACGTCGCTAGCGCAGGTTTGAGCCTTCTTAGACCTGGCATCGTACTACCGTCGTTTTATCAAAGGTTTTGCGGCGATTGCGCGGCCTCTCACGAACCTGCTTCGGAAGGACCAGCCTCTGCAGTGGGACTCTGAGTGCGAGCAAGCCTTTGACGCACTCAAGGAGGCCCTAGCCACCGCACCAATTTTGATCCCGCTTGACCCTACCAAGTAATTTATTCTTTTAACGGACTGACAACCCGAAGCGATCTCTGCCATCCTAGCACAAAAGGGGAACGATGGTCGCGAACACGTCATCGAGTACGCATCACGAAGGGATGAATGACTCAGCACCTCAAGGCGAATGCTATGCAGTAGTCTGGGGAATCCAACACTTCCATCCGTATCTTTACGGACAGAAGTTCCGCCTCGTGACGGATCATGAGCCCCTACTGGCTTTGAAGAGGCTCACTAATTACACGGGCATGATTGGACGTTGGGCGGTCCGCCTACAGGAATACGACTTCGACATCATCCATCAAAAGACAGAGAGACACGGCAACGCGGACGGATTGACACGTCTGCATCGACCCGCTAAAGTACCTAAGGGCGAGGAAATCACTCCGTGGAAGGAGTCAGAACCGGCAAACGGGCCTAAGTACGGACAAGTAGCAGTTCTCCCACGTGGCAAGAAGCAGACCGGTGGCAATGGGTGACGGAGGTAATCCCGTTGTCAGGCGGCTGCAAGCAGAGCGCCGCTTGAGATCTGCAGTTTTGGGACTTAGGCTCAGGGACGAGTCCGTGTTTTGATGGTGCTCTCGTATGACCAGGCAACAGAAATTAGGGGAACTCAGGGCGCCCCTGATTCTGGGCGCACTGAGCCTTACAAGTAATCCTCAAAGATGGCGAGATAAGTGGCCACACTCGGCGCATCTAGGGATTGTCATTCCCGGCTGTTTAGAGAGCTAGACTCGGATTGGCCTGCTGCGGAGAGGCATCGCGGGAAATGACTTCGCCGCAACGTTTTTGCGGCATATGACCGGGGCCGAAATGAGGCCTCAGATTTTTGTCTTTTTTTTTACCTAAACTAAAGATGGGAGAAAAGATTGGGAACAGTAGGAGGGAAGAGAAAAACGTAATATCCCTTAGTTCCCTTTTTTTTTTGCGGCATTTAAATTTKGAGGAAAATACCTCGTTATTTTTTGTTTCCGGCAATGAAATAGAAAACCAGAGAAAAAGATTTAAAATGGTAGGGGAGAGAAGAAAAGAGAGAATTTCAACCATTTGATTAAACTCCCTCAGAATTCATTTTTGGTGAACCTACGGCTAATTCACTATTGCAGGCATTAGAATTAAGGAAAAGGGAGAACGATTAAAAATGATGGAACAAACAGGAGCTAATGATTATTCGATGCCTGATCTGGTTTTGCTTGGGATACCCACCGTCAGCTCAGAACCCAGATTTGAACAAATTCCCTGAGCTCTAACTTTTTTTTGCTATCTCCCGATGATCGAAACTCTCTATGACGCGTCCCCTATTTACCTGATTACTAACCTTACTGAGCCCGGCGGTACGAACGATGACCACATGGATATGGACAGCGTGGGATCGTGTTGCATTGGACCGGCAGCATGATGTCAGGTTCGGTATCGGACATGTTTGAGGTTCGGCCTGAGCCGGTATCGGCGTACTTCAGGTTCGGGCACCAGGGTGATTTATTTCAAGGGTCGACATCATCACGACTATTTATTTCAGGATCAGCATCATCACGGCAATTTGTTTCAGGGCCGGAACCGCCACGGTGGCTTACTTTCAGGCCTCGAGCCACTATGACGATGTATTTCAGGTTCGAAACCTGGACGGCAGGTCATTCCAGGTTCGGCGCTATCACGGGTATTTAGCTCAGGCTCGGCAGCATCACTGCGGCCATTTATTCCAGGTTTGGTGCCACTATGGCGGTTTATTTCAGCTTTGGGACCACTACGCCAGTCTATTTCAGGTTAGGGATGACTACGCTGATGTATTCACCACCGCGACCTATTTTCGGGTTCGGGAGGCCTCATACGATTATCAACTGTGCGGCTCAGCCTTCAAGGCTGAAAAGGGAAATTGAGGTTCCGAAGTACCGATCTGGGAATGGACATCAAGCGGGGTAGCTGGGGGTGCCTGGTGCTGCGATTGACCGGGGGCCAGCCCCGAGCGGCTTGGGAACAGCGAAGGACTGTGGCCTTCTCAGAGCGCCGTAGGTGAAAACAAGGCCGAGAGTTGAACGGAAGGGGATATAGGGAGGAACCAGTCATTCTACAGGGGGGATGTGCACGGTGTGCCCAGCGCGATAGGCATGCTGGGATAGTGGACAGACGGAGGATTGGGGAAGCATGCGAGGTGTACGCAGTGCACCGCAGAGTTGCAGACAGTCACGGGGTGCGAGACGAGCTCAAGGCGAAGACATCGGCGCCCAGGGTGCGAGTGTGAGAGAGGGATTTGGTTGATGACACGGCAGCGCACCAGCGCACTGAAGACTGGTATATGGGTATCGCTTTGTCATGCGGTGAGAAGAAGCGGCGAGATACTTCGTAAAGGCTTTCTCTTTGCAGTAAGTACGAAATGCAGATCTGGTCAGACACACAATGCTAGTGTGCGTATGCCGGGAGAGAAGCAGAGTAATGAGGGAAGAGTGAGAGTAGGTGAGAAGGGAAGGCAGAAAACGGGGCTGATCTGGTCGCTGCCCCTTGCCAAGTACATTTTGAACGTTGAACTTTGATCTGGCCGCTAAAGCAGTGCAGATACAAGGGCGA